GTCTGCCCATCCCTGCCCATTTCTGACTGCAGCAACCCCAGCAGGTTTTGCTGTAGTCACCTTTTGGCTTTGCTTTGGTTGCAGTTTTCATGCAGCTCTGGCTGTGTCAGACCAGAAGGTTCTGATCAGTGGAGGCTGCAATGCCAAGGGGGCCCTACAGGATGCTTTTGTCTTCCACCTCGGTGAGTGACTTTCCCTCACAGTTTCTGTAGCTGAAGTTGACCATTGGGCTACAGTGGTGTTTTTGAACACCTAATCTGCTCTATTTGTTTCACCTCTGGTTTGTCAGTATTGATAGCCACTTTCTACTTCAGATACTCTTTCATGGAGCACGGTGATCCACCATGACCTCTGCTCTGTGCCCCGAGCTGGCCACACGTTGCTTAACCTGACTCCTGGCTGCCTGATGGATGTGGGCAAGGAGAAAAAAGAGGAGCATAACCTGCACACGGTGTTGGTCTTTGGGGGCTCCAACTGTGCTGGGACCTTTTACAACAGTACAGTCAAGATTCAGCTGGACCTAGAATAATGCACAATACTCAGAATGAGCCTGGAACAGCAAGGGCTCTTCACCAGCCTGAGCACAGACATGGATGGCAATAAATGAGTCCAAGTATCTATATGAAGGTGAATGCTACCTTGGCACAAGAGATCACGGGTTTGTAAAACCTTTCTGAAAGTGGTGGGTATTGTCCTCTTAGGGCAGCTGATATACAACATCAGACTGTCAGAAATTCCCTCCTATCTCCCTGGCTTGGTATGTGGGCTTGCACGCTTAAAGCATGCAGTGGGAACCTGTAGAGCAACAGGGGAAACCCAGAAGCTGTGACTGTGTCCCTGTGCAGGCTCAGCTTTGTGTTCCTGAGCTGAGCCTGGACAGGAACACAGTCACAGGCCTCTGGGTTTCCCCTCTTGCCCTAGAGGTTTCTAGGCTAGAATTCCTGGGGTGCTTTCAGTTCTGAAGGTGACTCAGGTGTTGGGTTTCATTTGGGATGAGTGGAAGGGGATTTATTCCTG